ACAACTCTTCAGGAAAAGTCTAAGCTAAATTGCTTTACAGTATATGTGCTGTATAGCATTTCATTCAGTTAATGCCCTTTGTTACTAGGAAATACATCATTATGTGTATGGAAGACCTTCCTACTAGGGTGGTAATCAATAGGTAAAGATTAGATGAGAAGCCGATAGAGCCCTCTGTTCCCTTTGACTATTCACTGGTTAAAGACAGACGGAACACACAGGAGAGAGAGAAAGGAGGAGGGAGGGAGAGAGAGGAGAGAGAAAGAGGGAGGGAGAGAGAGAAGAGAGGATGGGTGGGAGAGAGAGGAGAGAGGGAGGGGAGGAAGGAGAGACCGAGGATGAGAGGGAAGAGGAGGAGAGAGAGGAAGAGAGGGATCGAGGGAGGACGAGAGGAGAGGGAGAGAGGGAGGGGAGGAGGAGAGAGGAGAGGAGGGAGGGGAGTAGGAGAAGAAGAGAGGAGACGAGGGAGGGGAGGAGAGAAGAGAGAGAGAGGAGAGAGGGAGGGAGGAGAGAGAGGAGAGAGGGAGGGGAGGAGAGAGAGGAGAGAGGGAGGGGAGGAGAGAGAAGAGAGAGGGAGGGGAGGAGAGAGAGAGGGGTAGGAGAGAGAGGAGGAGGGAGAGGGAGAAGAAGACGAGGGAGAGAGGGGAGGGAGGAGAGATGAGGAGAGAGGGAGAGGGGAGAGAGAGGGAGAGAGGGAGGTGGAGGAGAGCCGGATGAGAGGGAGGGGAGGAGAGAGGATGGAGGAGGAGGGAGGGGAGGAGACGAGAGGAGAGAGGGAGGGGGAGGAGAGAGGAGCAGGAAGAGGGAGGGGGAGGAGAGAGAGAGGGGAGGAGAGAGAGGAGAGGGAGAAGGAGGCAAGAAGAGAGGAAGAGAGGGAGGGGAGGAGAGAGGAGAGAGGGGAGGGGAGGGGAGAGAGGAGGAGAGGGAGGGGAGGAGAGGGAGGAAGGGGGAGGGGAGAGGAGGGGGAGAGCGAGGAGAGGAGAGAGGGAGGGGAGGAGAGAGAGGAGAGTGGGAGGGGAGGAGAGGTTTGAAGAGAACAAAGGGAGTGCATTGCCATGCCGACGCACTTACAGACAGTGCGAACTGGTTAATGAAGAGTGACATACACACACACACACGAGAGACAAAGGCTCCCCTCAAAACATAAGACTAACATTTTGTTGGGTGATAAGTTAAGTGGTTTAGATTATAGGGAGTATAACCCAATCACACACAACAACATGCTGGAGATAGGGGTGGGGGAGTGTGTATGTGTGTGTGGAGGGGGGTTACAGTGATAGACATGTTAAATTACGCTTCAAATTGAAAGAAAACAGCTAAGTAAACTGCACTCGCAGACACACATGCCAACACACATGCCAACACAACACACAGGTCAACACACACACACACACACATACACACACACACTGTGCATTAGTCAGAGCATTAGCGTTTTCAACTCCTGCTGTCGTCTTGGTGAGGGCTGAATCGGCGGGACGCGGAGTGTTACCAAACGCAGCGCTGATTTGTTTTGGAAACGCCGCGGCTGTCAGCCCTCATTGGCTGTTGAGGGAGACGACAGCCGTGGTTGGCCGAGGTGACAGCAGCATTTGCTCGGGGCCGGCACACTTCAGGTCATGTTTGAGAAAGCTGTGCTCAACCTGATGGCTTGTAAGATCACATCAATCCTGTGTGTCTCCTATGTCCACTCAGACACACCTCTAGTCGACGAACACAGGCCGTAACTGAGTGACAAGCCTGTGTGTGTGTGTGTGTGTGTGTGTGTTAGGGGGGATGGGGGTTGGGCTGATTGACGGTGACAAGCAATGAAGTGGATTTCTCTCTCTAAACCGTCTAAAACGGTTCTGGATGTCTTCCAACTGACTGTTGCCTCACACACACAACTGCCTTTTAAGCAGGGTTTTTAGTTTGGTTTGGCATGTCAAAAAGTTTGTACTTCTTCATGTACTTCTTTCCACCCGAAATCACATTGGCTGCGGAGAAACTTGCTTCAATGTAAAAATCACATTGGCTGAGGAGAAACTTGCTTCAATGTAAAAACCACATTGGCTGAGGAGAAACTTGCTTCAAACTAAAATCACATTGGCTGAGGAGAAACTTGCTTCAATGTAAAATCACATTGGCTGAGGAGAAATTTGTTTCAATTAAAAATCACATTGGCTGAGGAGAAACTTGCTTCTATGTAAAATCACATTGGCTGAGGAAAAACTTGCTTAATGTGAGGAAAAACTTGCTTCAATTGAAAATCTCATTGGCTGAGAAGAAACTTGCTTCAATGTAAAATGACATTGTCCCTCAGTCCGTCTAAAATCATGTTTTGACGTAGGCTAGTTTATTCTTCTCTCATTCACTTGTCAAAAATCTATGTGGCGTCTAACCTCCCTCGGGCTGATGGAGGCGTTGAAAGACCTCACCTCTCACCTCCCAACACAAAGCCCATGGCTTTTAAGGACACAATTACTCCCTTCATCCTTCCTCCTCTAATCCTCTCCTCCATCTCTTCCTCTCCTCCTTTCACCAAAGCTTTCTAGCATTATATCAAGCTGCATATAGGACTGGCCAATCAAATAAAAAACATAGCAATACCTTATTTACATAAGTATTCAGACCCTTTGCTATGAGACTCGAAATTGAGCTCAGGTACCTGTTTCCATTGATCATCCTTGAGATGATTCTACAACTTCATTGGTGTCCACCTGTAATAAATTCAATTGATTGGACATGATTTGGAAAGGCACACACCTGTCTATATAAGTTCCCACAGTTGACCGTGAATGTCAGAGCAAAAACCAAGCCATGAGGTCGAAGGAATTGTCCGTAGAGCTCCGAGACAGGATTGTGTCGAGGCACAGATCTGGGGAATGGTACCAAAAAATGTCTGCAGCATTGAAGGTCCCCAAGAACACAGTGGCCTCCATCATACTTAAATGGAAGAGCAATCAGGGGTGAAGGGCCTTGGTCAGGGAGGTGACCAAGAACCCGATGGTCACTCTGACAGAGCTCCAGAGTTCCTCTGTGGAGATGGGAGAACCTTCCAGAAGGACAACCATCTCTGCAGTACTCCACCAATCAGGCCTTTATGGTAGAGTGGCCAGACGGAAGCCACTCCTCAGTAAAAGAAACATGACAGCCCGCTTGGAGTTTGCCAAAAGGCACCCAAAGGACTCTCAGACCATGAGAAACAAGATTATGTGGTCTGATGAATGCCAAGCGTCACGTCTGGAGGAAACCTGGCACCATCCCTACGGTGAAGCATGGTAATGACAACATCATGCTGTGGGGATGTTTTTCAGCGGTAGGGACTGGGAGACTAGTCAGGATAGAGGGAAAGATGAACGTAGCAAAGTACAGAGAGACAAGTCTCTGAATGTCCTTGAGTGGCCCAGCCAGAGCCCGGACTTGAACCCGATCGAACATCTCTGGAGAGACCTGAAAATAGCTGTGCAACGACGCTCCCCATCCAACCAGACAGAGCTTGAGTGGATCTGCAGAGAAGAATGGGAGAGACTCCCAAAATACTGGTGTTCCAAGCTTGTAGCGTCATACCCAAAAAGACTTGAGGCTGTAATAGCTGCCAAAGGTGCTTCAACAAAGCACCCCCCACCCCCAGCTCTGACATTGCTGATAGCTACTTTATTGAGGAAAAGTGTACTAACAATGATTGTGATATTATGTAGTTGTCCCACCTAGCTATCTTAAGATGAATGCACTAACTGTAAGTCACTCTGGATAAGAGTGTCTGCTAAATTACTCAAATGTAAAATGTAAAAATTTAGTTCAATAGAGATAAAGACCATGGATTTTCTAATGATGGTGCACACAGTTTTCATCATGTTTATAAAGTAGACTAACATTTAGTTGGGTGATTATAAGGAGTATAACGCAATCACACACAACAACATGATGGAGATAGGGGTGGGGGAGTGTGGGGGGGTTACAGCGACATGTTAAATTACGCTTCAAATTGAAAGAAAACAATGAGTGGCTGGAGGATAAAACAACATCTTGCCGAGAGAGAGAGAAGTAGGGAGATCAAGATCGAGATAGAAGGAACACTAATCAGATTTAGCGCTTCAGTAAGAAAACAGAGAGCGACCGAGAGAGAGTTTGGCAGAGAGAGAGAGAGACAGTACATTGAATGAACTACAGGAGAAAATACAAACCCTCCAACTCAAAAAGGCCTGTGGTGTTGATGGTATCCTAAATGAAATTATAAAATATATAGACCACAAATTCCAATTGGCTATGCTTAAACTCTTTAACATCATCCTTAGCTCTGGCATCTTCCCCAATATCTGGAACCACGGACTGATCACCCCAATCCACAAAAGTGGAGACATATTTGATCCCAATAACTACAGAGGGCCATGTGTCAACAGCAACCTTGGGAAAATCCCCTGCATTATCATTAACAGCAGACTTTTTAGTCATTTTACATTTTAGCAGACACTCTTATCCAGAGCGACTTACAGTTAGTGCGTGCATACCTTTTTTCATTTCATACTGGTCCCCCGTGTGAAACGAACCCACAACCCTGGCGTTGCAAACGCCATGCTCTACCAACTGAGCTACACGGGACCTGTACATTTCCTCAATGAAAACAATGTACTGAGCAAATGTCAAATTGGCTTTAACCAAATTACTGTACGACAGACAACATATTCACCCTGCACACCCTAATTGACAAACAAACAAACCAAAACAAAGGCAAAGTCTTCTCATTCTTGAGGGTCTGCTATATAAATTGATGGAAAGCGGTGTTGGGGTAAAAACATGACATTATGAAATCCATGTACACAAACAACAAGTGTGCGGTTAAAATGGGCAAAAAACACACACATTACTTTTCACAGGGCCGTGGGGTGAGACAGGGATGCCGCTTGAGCCCCACCCTCTTCAACATATATATCAACGAATTTGTGAGGGCACTAGAACAGTCTGCAGCACCCGGCCTCACCCTACTAGAATCTGAAGTCAAATGTCTACTGTTTGCTGGTGATCTGGTGCTTCTGTCCCCAACCAAGGAGGGCCTACAGCAGCACCTAGATCTTCTGCACAGATTCTGTCAGAGCTGGGCCCTGACAGTAAATCTCAGTAAGACAAAAATAATGGTGTTCCAAAAAAGCCAGGACTACAAATACAAATTTCATCTAGACACCGTTGCCCTAGAGCACACAAAAAACTGTACATAACTCAGCCTAAACATTAGTGCCACAGGTAAGTTCCACAAAGCTGTGAACGATCTGAGAGACAAGGCAAGAAGGGCCTTCTATGCAATCAAAAGGAACATCATATTTGACATACCAATTAGGATCTGGCTAAAAATACTTGAATCAGTTATAGAACCCATTGCCCTTTATGGTTGTGAGGTCTGGGGTCCGCTCACCAACCAAGAATTCACAAAATGGGACAAATATCAAATTGAGACTCTGCATGCAGAATTCTGCAAAAATATCCTCTGTGTACAACGTAAAACACCAAATAATGCATGGAGAGCAGAATTAGGCCGATACCCGCTAATGATAAAAATCCAGAAAAGAGACGATAAATTCTATAACCACTTAAAAGGAAGCGATTCCCAAACCTTCCATAACAAAGCCATCACCTACAGAGAGATGAACTTGGCGAAGAGTCCCCTAAGCAAGCTGGTCCTGGGGCTCTGTTCACAAACACAAACAGACCCCACAGAGCCCCAGGACAGCAACACAATTAGACCCAACCAAATCATGAGAAAACAAAAACATAATTGGAAAGAATTAACAAAAAAACAGAGCAAACTAGAATGCTATTTGGCCCTAAACAGAGAGTACACAGCGGCAGAATACCTGACCACTGCGACTGACCCAAAATTAAGGAAAGCTTTGACTATGTACAGTGAGCATAGCCTTGCTATTTAGAGAGCCCGCCGTACGCAGACCTGGCTCTCAAGAGAAGTGCACACTGCCCACAAAATAAGGTGGAAATTGAGCTGCACTTCCTAACCTCCTGTCAAATGTATGACCATATTAAAGACACATATTTCCCTCAGATTACACAGACCCAAAAAGATTTCGAAAACAAATCCAATTTTGATAAACTCCCGTATCTATTGGGTGAAATACTACAGTGTGCACGATTTGTGACCTGTTGCCACAAGAAAAGGGCAACCAGTGAAGAACAAACACCATTGTATTTTAACTATTTGCACATCGTTACAACAATGTATATAGGCGTAATATGACAATTGAAATGTCTCTATTCCTTTGGAACATTTGTGAGTGTAATGTTTACTGTTTAATTGCTTATTTCACTTTTGTTTATTATCTATTTCACTTGCTTTGGCAATGTAAACATATGTTTCCCATGCCAATAAAGCCCTTTGAATTGAATTGAGAGAGAGAAAGAGAGAGAGGGAGGCGGAGAATTTGCCTAATTAGCTGCTTTTTAGCCCCCCCCCCCCCCCCCCCCCCCCCGAATTTGGACCCCCCCCCCCTCCATAGGCCCTCTACTTGCCCCCTGTTGGCCCTCATATCTCCCTTCAACTCTCCCTGATCCCCCCAGGTTAACCTCTTACAAACCATTATACCCCCTTAACCCCTCTGAGTTCCATTAAGTAGCTGTAATTAATGTGAACCATTAAGAGAATATTGAGAATAGTACAGTCCATTGCAAAGGACTACTGCTGCTACCAAACAATCGTCCAACCAAGGGGAATGAGCAGAAGAGAAAAGTATTCAGCCTCTCTCGGAATACACAAATAATGAATTGGATTTATATGCAGTGAAAGTTAGGTAGGAAAGTTCTGCTTTGTTTTATATAGCATTACAGCCTTAATCCGGGTGCGATACACTTCAGTTTACATAGTCCTTGACTTCTCCTGAGAATACAACAGAGCTGAACCAGGTCGTCTTAGAGAACTAAAGAAAGTGTTTCTCAATCAATCTGCCTGGTGAAATAACACAAGTTGAATCACATAAAAAATAAACTGCTTTATGTAGAGAGAGAGGGGGGGGAGAGAGCGAGAGAAAGAGAGAGACAGAGAGACAGAGAGAGAGAGAGAGAGCAAGAGAGAGAGAGAGCGAGAGAGAGAGGAGAGAGAGAGAGAGAGAGAGAGAAGCGTGTGACTCATCTAAAGTAGTGATGGACAGACAAGGCCGCAGAATCTGTCATTCTTCAACACTAAAGCGCCTGACTGCTTTCTTTCACAGGGACATCGAATAGCAAACTAAAGTGAACTCCTTTCTTTTCTTTAGAGAAAAAAGAGAGAAATCTTCAGGAGACAGACTAATGGGGTTTGTGTGTGTGTGGTTGTGTGTGTGGGATGGGGGTCTTTTAATCATTTTGTGTCCCCTACACCATGTAGTGACAGTGTGTGTGTGAGTTTGTGTGTGTGTGTGTGTGTGTGTGTGTGTAAAAGTGTGGGAGAGAAAGAGAGAGAGGGACAGAGAGAGAGAAGGAGAGAGATACAAAGCACTCAGGGGCTCTCAGTAAAGCATGCCACCAGAGCTTTAAGTCCCT